TCTCTCTCTCTCTCTCTCTCTCTCTCTCTCTCTCTCTCTCTCTCTCTCTCTCTCTCTCTCTCTCTCTCAAGATCAGAAATGAAATGAACAGGAGTATGACGACGAAGGACAGACACAAAGACCAAGTATAAGCTGACGATCTGAAGTGAAATGAACAGAAGTATGAAGATTTGTAGAGACATGCACAGCAACATACCTTCCCTTTTACTCTGCCTACTGTTATAACGTGCAAGTGGACCGTTAAGGCACATGGGGATGTGGGCAGCTGCCGCTTAACCACAATCAAAATGGGCAACCTTGTACGTGCGAGGCACAGTAAAGGAGGAGCTGTTGCCCCAAAGAAACCCCAACTAAACACAGTTCAAAATGGTTCTATTATGACTCATGTTGCTTGGCATAGTAAAAGAGGAGCTGTTGCCCCAAAGAAACCCCAACTAAACACAGTTCAAAATGGTTCTATTATGACTCGTGTTGCTTGGCATAGTAAAAGAGGAGCTGTTGCCCCAAAGAAACCCCAACTAAACACAGTTCAAAATGGTTCTATTATGATTCTGTTGCTTGCTAAAAAGTTGAATTCTTCAATTGTTGGGCTTCTCAGCTCGAATCTACTCGTCTGGGTGGACTAGGGTCTGTTGTGGTGGAAACATAAAACACATGCAGCCACCCGAAAAAAACACACACTTAAGCACAATTCTGCCCTTAGCAGGACCATGGTACTATGTGGTTGCTGAGTACTAGAGCATAGCAACCAAGGGTTGTGCAGCTCATGTAGTACAATGGATAAGAAGGGTAAAGGGTTACCATTGCAACATGGATTTTGTAAGAGTAATCATGTCTACTATTCTTGTATCTCCTTCCAAAATCATCACGGCCCACTTCTCAATCGCATATCTCGAAGTGCCAATTGCGATTTCAAAAGATGGGAAGCACTCGAAGCCAAATTGCGGTTGGATGGTACCAGCAGACTGGGCAGCACCATGTGGGGTCGGCCATACTTGTCAACTGGATGCTCTTTCTACACTTGAAGGGGGATCAATTGAAATTGATTCTTGTTCATTCTTTCAGTTATTATTGTATAAGAGGGAGGAAGATGACATTGGCTCAATCTTGTGTTCTTCATCCTCTTGTTCTCCTTGCCTTTATCCATCCTGTCTGAAATGATTCACGCGCTGCCACAGTATGGCCCCTGTAACATGTCCCATTTCCTAGAACCTTCCCGTAGGTACTGTACAGACCATAACACAGATGTACTAGGATAAGACCGGTAGGAATAGTAGACGACCCTGAAAGTCAGTAGGTAGGAAGTCAACACGTGTCCAGTCCCGGTTCTACTGCAGCTCAGTCCCAGGGGAAGGCCACGACAGGCCGAATCTCTGTCGGCCACGACAGGGCTTGGCAGGGAGAGTCTTGAATCACAAGGGAGTCAGAGGTACAAGCACAAAAGGGAGGCCAACGTCAGGAACCTTCTCTTCTTGGATTCTGTCAGATGCGGAAGCGCTGCTGTGTTGCTTGAGCGCCAAGATCTTGGAAAGTGAACACTGCCGGGAGAGTAGTCGATGGTGCTGTGTGCTTGAGTGCAGAGAGAGAGAGAGAGAGAGAGAGAGAGAGAGAGAGAGAGCAGCGAGGACATTCAGAGAGTGATCGTAGGACAGAGTCGGGGAGAGTAATAATGAGAGAGAGAGAGAGAGAGAGAGAGAGAGAGAGAGAGAGAGAGAGAGAGAGAGAGAGAGAGAGAGAGAGAGAGAGAGAGAGAGAGATTAACTTACCTGCTCGTTGTTGTTGTTGGGTTCCATAGCCACCAGCTTGAAGAACCTGTGTATATCATTTCCTGTTTTAATTAAGTTGTGTGTGTGCTTGTATTGGGTGGATCTTGCTGTTGAATCGTCGTTTTGAAAAGGGTTGGACTGGATCATTGCGTGTCTCTTGATTTCATTCTTTTCCCTCTCGAGTTACCATGAATGGCATCGTCTCCAATTAGAGTCTTGCTTCATGGAATGGACGGGAACTGTTACATCTTCGATGCCACACGGGTCCTACCGGACCCGACTTAGGGCCCGAGGGACACAGTAGGGCCTAAAGGCCCAGACTTGGGGTACAGCAGGCCGTAAAGGCCACGTTTTTGGACCAGACCGACGGGCAGGCCCAAACGACATTCTCGTTTTGGGCCTGG